GCGCCGCCCACCATCGTAGGTGGGCGGCCTAGGTTTTGAGTTTAGGATTTATGCTTAAGGGTTTAGGGTTTGGGGTTTAGGGTTTAGGGTTTGGGGTTTAGGGTCTAGGGTTTAGGATTTATGCTTTAAGGCTTATAAGTCAATGACCGGTTGTATGCCTCCCAAATACGGTTGCCTATGCCGCCTCCACCCCAAACCCTAAAGAGTAGTTGTTGCGCTTACTATATGGGTACTTCCCAAAATGAGGTTCCCATTTTGGTGTCCCCTAAACATTAGGTGCCGTAATATAACCTAGAACCCAAAGGGGACCATACTTTTGAGAATTGCCCATATCAACTCTTCAGCCCCTGAATCAGGAAGATAATCTGACAGCAAGGCGAGTGGCCATCCAGTGGCCCTGAGCACGGCCAGGAGACCCTCATTCAAGGGCTGCTTGACTAAGCTCCTCAGAAGGCTCACAGTCCTCTACCATCAGAATTGCTACTATCCATGTCAGTTCTATCCCCGTAGTTCATGCAACTGCGGTTGTGACGATTGCTATCACAGTTGCCGCCTCCTCGTGGCCTCCTCCTCCTCCTCCTGGCCCCCTCCCAGACTCCTCCTACAGCTCGTGCTCCTTGTCCTCACCGTTTTCTTCTTTTCCCTCATCGACAGCAAGGATCACCTGAAAAAATGAGTTAGTATGCCTCACCACCACCACCACCACCGCCGCCACCACCACCGCCACCACAACTGCTACTACGGCAACACGGAAGGATGATAATCGTTCCCATGGTGATGGAAATTAGAGCTGTGTCTGTTCATCCGGCAACCCCTGCGCATGACGGCCCCCAACCCCTCCAGACTGGAAGAGCAAGCGTGGTCGGCTTGGCATCCATCCGCTTGTTGTTAATAGTTGCGAATATCGTGACTATTTTTGGCAGTAGTAGCTAACTAGTAGTCAACTGTTAGCAGTTCTGTTATTGAGGAATACCCTCTGCGAAGCGCTACCTGCTACCCCCCATCTCCATGGGTCTGTTTTCAGCGCAACAGCTGGAGTTTGCAACGACTGGGTTGCTGTTAAGGAACTTAAATTCAGTTACTATATTGGGGAAACCCTATTATTTGCTATATATACCCATTATGGTAACTTAGTTCCTAAACAGCAACCCAGACGAACTCTCAAGCCTGGTTTAAGCTTAGGATTGAGCGTTGGTCAAGTCGCGTTCTATACGCTCACCATGGCGTACTGGAAAATGTTGCAGGGAGGGAAGCAACTCATTACTCCGCAATCTGGAAGGTTGCCAAAAACATAGTCCCTTGTTGGGTTTTCATACAGCCTCTAATATTTAGAGTGCCCGAACATGGACTGCGATTTGACATTCCCCATGTCTGCTGCGGAAGATGCTGGTTTGACAAGCCTCATATGGGCTACTGCAAGCTGTGCCATTGTTGCTTATATGTCACATTCGATACGGTCAATGCTTAGGAATCTTGTGCCCCTCGGAATATTGATGCACCTGGGACTCGGAAGAAGTTGGGGTCGTGCTGATTCAGGCATAGCTTGAAGCGTTGCCTTTGTGGCCAGGTGGAAATATGAGGGTTTAGGGTTCAGGGTTTATATATCTCCACAGGAAGGACGACTGCAGCCATGTGCAAACAAAACAGAATCCACACCAGGGCTGAAGCGAGCGCCTGCTGAAATGCTATAGCCTACTTGACCTGGAGACACAGCTGCATGAAGGTGGTGTCCTTTGAAAATAGACATAGTCTCAACTCCTAGTATCCCTCTTAATAACCCCTTTAGTAGTCCCCTCCCTAGCCATAGATTTCTGCTTCCGGGGCACGTAGGCAGGGTTGTCTTGAAATGTTTCCGCATCATCTCGGGATCCACCTCGCGTTACAAAAGGGGGTAGATCACCGAAAGGTGGTCCGCATGGCCGATACGCGAAAGACTGCATGACCTTAAGATCCCCATTAAAGCCAGTAGGGAAAATCTTGAGTATCCCAGGGGCCTACCCAGTTATGATGCAATTTTTCAAGTGGATAGCATATGGGGTATATGGGGATTTTATTTTAATATACCCAAAGCCATATTCTATCTACGTAAGGGGGACTATATCTAGGTGCTGCAGGTTGGTATCAACAGCATGGATTGCACAACAGTAGCGGTTTCGGGTTTAGGGCACATAAATTGCAGCTTGACAGCTCTAGATCCGGCCGTAACTCCTCAAGTACTCTGTGTAGGGCCAAATACCCGCAAGTAGGACCGCACAGACACTCTTTAAGGATAGTTGGGGGCGTGCAGTTGCAAAGTACGCCCGCGCAAGTGGATACTGAGAACCCTCGATCCTGAGCCCGTGTAGCCGGCACCCCTAGCCCTAGGTGAGCCTTTCTTCCAGAAACCCGCAATCCTGCAGTCATGAACCCAGTGAACTCGCGGAACTGTACTCCCCAACGCATGCCAAATCGTTGATGTGAGCTATAGTCCGCACTCCCAGTGTCCCCTTTGATTGTCGCTATAGTAGTCCCCTACATACTATAATCCTCTAAATAACCCCCTTTAACTCTATAGCTCATGCGCTGTTGCTCATCGAAGCTTGCAAACCTTGGAAATCTCTACTTCGAAATGGGTAACAGCAGATACCAACACCACATCGTCAATTTGGTGGGTCCACATCTTCAAGCGACTTCTATTCTGTGTGGTCTGAAAACTCTAAACCCTAAACCCCAAACCCCTAAACCCTAAACCCCTAAACCCTAAAAGTTCCGTTCAGGAAGACCTCAAAGCTCCACTAATGGAACCCTGAAGCCGAAGCCCTGGATCCACAAGACTCTGAGCCTATAGTCCCCCTTAAGTAGATAGAATATGGCTTCGGGTATATTATAGTCAGATCCCCATATACCCATATTCTATCTACTTACGGAGGACTATAAATCGCTACCTCCAAAACCCTCAACCATAAAAATCCTGGCCATGAACCCCGAAACGTTACACCCCGGACTCAAAACTGTTAATCCAATAGTCCTGAGACCCTAAACCCTAAACCCTATATAATAGTTTCCTCTACTCCCTACTCTAATACGAAACAGCAATGGCCTGTCGCATCGCTTCTCGCAGCGTCTTCCGCTGTACGCCTACGCGATTCCTCGGATTGTCTCAAAACTACCCCCTAAACCCTAAACCCTAAACCCCTAAACCCCCAAACCCCCAAACCCTAAACCATACCTGTAGGCCCTTGTTAAGGATCACTTGGAGGTGGCCTGAAATCCTACGTCCTACATTTAGGGTTTGGGGTTTAGGGTTCCAGAATGCATGAAATTTGCCAGCTCTTACTGGCCCTACACAATAAACCCCAAACCCTAAACCCTTGCTGCACCCAGGATGGTATAGATTAGGTATAGATTAGGTGGACCCCCCACCCAGGAATAGTGACTATTATTGATAATAAGGAGTATAGTAGGGTCCTCTTATATTCCTATTATACCACTATTACAGGGTGGGGGGTCCTCCTAAGGTATAGATATGTCATGGGAAAAGCATTCAGGCTTAATAGCACTTCGTCCGTAGCGGGAAGGAGGACTGACAGATGTTGAGGATTTCCGGGTTTACCTAGACCCTGCTATGTAATACCTTCTTTGGGGGACCCTAACAGGACTCCGAACCAAAATACCATAACGAACCCAAAAAGAAACTTCTTCTTCTTTGGAGAGGCCGGGCAGGCGTTTCGGGACGGAGTTTTTACAGAGGGTTCGGGAGGTATCCGGTCAACGGTGGAAAGGGCAAACGACCTGGCCAGAAAAAGATATGTTTGCCAGCGCTTCAGGTGAGGGCGCCAGGTTCATCGATGTATGTTCTAGGGCTTACCAGAATTGAACACTAAACCTTTAGACCACGTAACCACAATCCGCAGAAATCTATCTGGGGCCTGCTATGCCCCACGGTGAGGACATGACCTTTGAATCGGAGGCAGCATTCAGCTCTCCGTGCAACAACCCCAAGCCAAGATAATTCTCCAAATCCACGACACTTTCCCAAACAAGCCAAGCATGTACCAAAATCATTATCATTCCTATTAGTATTTTTACCAGTATTATGAGTACTATTATGATTATTGCTATTATGGCTCCTCTCAATAAGTCGGAAATCGAAAAGGGCCTCCTTTTCAGTATCCATTTTTGTTTCGGGGCTTTAACATGAACCGGAACCCTTTCTCCCTTCACTTCGACTCCAAACGCCCAAGACCCCAAAACCCCAGACCCCCGAATCCTGCAACACCAGCACTGTGGCCCTAGACTCAGAAGAGTATAGGCAAAGGCTCAGAATCGGCTCTGTCACCGCAAAGAGCATTGCCTTCCCGTGGGCCACGTGAGGTTATTCAGAATTCTGCGTGCTGCATGTAGGGGTTACACGGCGAGGTTCTCTCTCTTTGGGAGGTGTCCGATGGGCCCTGAACTCGGCGAAACATCCAGTTGACCGCTGAGGTTCCACAGGCTGTAGGCTAATACTTCAAGGACTTACTACTGTGATAGAATAATGCAGATACTCAACTGCCTTCAACCATCAAGTACTCAGTAGATTCTGCAGACATAACCCTGCTAACCGTTCCTACAGACTTCGCAGAAATAAGAAGTCAAGGCTAAATGCCAGCACTACTGCCTAGAAGCATCAGAACGCGTGATGAAGGCAAATCATGAGCCCTAAGTCCCAAATTCGATGAGGATGCCAACAAAATGCGTTGGTTTAACCAATCCGCAAAGAGCCTACACCTGAAACCCCCATCTACAACCTCTCGTCCATAAGATTTGAAGCCTCACCCCTGATCTCTCAGAAATTCATGCCACTTTCCAGAAGTCTAAGCGCTGAGCCCTAAACAACAGGCCCTGGGTTTAGGGTTTAGGAAAACCTAAATGGGTGGATGTCAAAATTATGGTCCCTTTTTGGATCCCTATTATAATACGGCACCTAATATTTAGGGTACCCAAAAGGGGACCACAAAAAAACCCTAAACCCTAAACCCTAAACCGTACCACCCAAATAAACCCAACACGCCAACTGGCCAAGCGCCTGCACAAACGCCGCGATCGCTCCGGCAGCTGCAGCCTCCCATTTCCCAGAAAGCCCCGTACCCCTCAGTTCCTGTTCATTAAGGAATACCACTATAGGGTACTTTATAAGGGTTATATAGGGGTTATATAGGGATAATGGAAATGAAAATGGAAGCTACTATTTAGGGTTTAGGGTTACCTGGACCCCAAAAGTATGTAGAATAATGGCCTCTGCGGCTATGTTTAAATGTTTTAGGCGATCATTTTACCTATCTTTAGGGTCCAGGTAATCAGGATTCCATAGGGTTACGTATCTAAGGTTCATACCTTACTTGAGTTATCTAGGATTTCGGGCTTTAGGGCTGGCTTAGACCTTAACAGCTAAATTAGGGATTCGGGGTGACATTCTTTGATCAAGGAATATTTGGGGAGTGATGAATGGTCATATAAGGTTATGGAGGGATGCGTTGGTTTAGGGTATAGGCTGGAACCCCTTAACGAAATGAAAAAATGGAACATGAAATGGGCTGGGTTTGTGTAGGGATGGAACACCTTCATCAGGTATATACCTTAAACCATACTAGGACCCCTGATATGATGTAAGCAGTGCTGGGCTCCCTGGGTTTGAAGTTGATTGCTCTGCCTGGTATGCGCGATTTGAGAGGCTAAGGCATCAGGTTTTAGGGCTCAGGGTTTAGAGTTATAGGGCTTAGGGTCGTGGAAGAGGCTGAGGCATCTGCGGGGTCTGCACTTTCAAAAGCTTGACGGTTCGCCGTTATATGAGGTTTGAGAGGGCTTGTGGCTCAGTATCAGTATCGGTGCGCAAGCCTTGGGAATCTTTGGTGCCCGGAGCCGGGAGGGTTCAGAGCTGTAGGTCTAAGTCTACGGCCAGAGCCTTTAGTATAGTATTTTGGCATCGTGCCCTTCAAGATTCACTTTTCCGATCCCTCACATCCATTCACACAAACCACCCTGCACCAATAAATCAACACTCCTGCAGGCAAGAGCTCTGCGAAGCAACCCTAAACCCTAAACCTAAACCCTAAACCCACCTGTATGGAGCGCCTTTTACACGTAATGTCGGGGCTGGGAAATTTGTAGTAAGCCTTTGGGGTAGAAAATTACACTACGAGTATATGAGGGCTACCGTGGAAGTATAGTGTAATTGTTCCGGTTTCTACATTCCACATGTGCGTCCGTGTCCACAAAGACTGTCAGCCAGGAAAAAGGCATTTAGAAGCACACATCCCATAGTTGATTCCTTCCCCCGAAATACCCTGGGCAACTCAACTAATCCAAAGCTCTGAGTTTCATGGTTACTTGTAAATGGGGATGCACGCAGGACACCTTTCTGTATTCACTATCTTGCGTGGGGAGAAGATTCTAAACCCTAAGCCCTAACAACCCTAAAGACCCCCACACCCCAGACACGTACTCAATAAACCCTATACCCAAAACCTTAAGCCCCTAAACCCCTAAACCCTAAACCTTAAATCCTGATGGCCTCGGCTACCGGAATTGCTCCCTGGCGTGAAAAGGCGCGCTGCAGCGTCCGAGGGGGCGAAGCATCCTCCTAGCTTCACGAGGTTTTAGGGTTTAGGGCTTACGCCTTAAGATGTTGTATACATTTAGGGCTTAGGGTTTTATGGGGTTCTATCAGAGTTGACAGGGCTGTATAAAACTTGAAAGAAGGTTCTTACGCCCTGATTTCACGGTTTGCCCTCATTCCTACCCCCTCATACTACCCACCAAAAGGGTCACCCACAATTAGAAGGGCCATTTGGGGGGGAGTATTGGGAGGGTGGGCAGTGGGGATGATTATTTGGAGGGTCACCCGGACTCAGTAGGTAGGTTAAAAGAGGATACCTCGGGTGACTAACCCCAAACCCTCATGACCCTCAAGCCCACATAAACTTACGATTACTTAGCGTTGTCCCTTACCCCTAAGCTCAAAAAATTACGCTCAAAAGACTCCCCCCCCCAAACGCTCGGTAATGGTAATAAACCCTGAGCTCCAAATAGGTCCCTAGTTGCAAGGACTGTAAAGGTAACGGATTGTGGGGTTACGGCGCTCCTTTCAAAAGGGGCCGTTACCAACGAAGGACCTCCGAAATGCCCTCAACCCTAAGCTCCAAATGCACGTGGTTTAGGGTTTAGGGCCCTGGACTGTTTGAAGCCTAAACTTCAAGCTCTACAAGCCCCAGCTGCTGAAAGCCAGTTGCTTCTTTGAAAGTACCAGGGAGACCCCCAAAAGGTTACCTACCCACTACTGGGGCCCGAAACCCTAAACCCCCAAGCCCTAAACCCTAAACCCCACACTCCCAAACCCTAAACCGACAGCCGCCTCCCGCTGTGGCAATGGAGTCGCCCAGGACTGTCCCATGCGCGGGCGCAGCGTGCAGGACACCGAGAAGGCCCGCAGTCCTGCTGGGGGATCAGGGTTTAGGGTTTAGGATTTAAGGGGTTTAGGATTTAAGGGGTTTAGGGTTTAGGATTTAGCGTTTAGGGTTTTGGGTTTAGGGTTTAGGGTTCAGGGTTTAGTTTTTTGGGGACTAGGGGCATCTTTCTATGCATCTATCCATCCACATCCCCATCGCTTCCGTCTCTCTCTCTTTCTCTTCTTCTGCTTCTGAGGGCTAAAGGGGGCCCTAACAAACACCCCAAGGCACTCCCTGAGCCCCCGTGTCCGTCCACTCAGGAGAATCGAGATACCGTCCAAGTACCCCTACCCAACAACCTAGAAGTCCAAATACCTTGGGTTTAGGGGTTTAGGGATTTAATCTTACAACAGTAGCCACGATATGGTAGCTTCCTAAGATGGAAACTCATAAAATGTAGGGACCCCCACCCAATGTTGGGAAACCCTTTACCCCGTGTTCAATGTCCTTTCCATTTGAGTCACTATTATTGGGGATGATATGCTTAAACCCGAAGCCCTAAATAGTGCTTCCATGTGATTTTCCATTGTTCCTTTATAACCCCTATGTAAACCCCAAACCTTATTCAAAAGAAACCCAATAAAGATGATTTCTGGATGCGCGGATTTGGCGATTTACTTAGAATGCCCAGTTTTGGCAAATAGAATAAGGATTGGGGCTTTAGGGTGTTGGGAGACATAAGGGTTTCGCCACTTCATGGAAACTCTAGACCTTAAACCCCAAACCCTAAACCTTAAACCCTAGACCCTACCAAGTTTTTCATGTTGGCTCGACGGCCTTCGTCCAGAAGGATGATGAGTGCCGCGGCACGCAGCGCACGTCGAGCGTTGCGGAAAGCCATGGCGCAGGTTCCAAGGGTTTTGGATTTAGGATTTAGGGGTTGAGGATTTAGGGTGTAGAATTTAGGGTTTAGGGTTTTAGAGTTTAGGGTTTTGGGGTTCTAAGCTTGCAAGGCTTTGGGTTCGGCGCGCCAGTGTTCAGGCTTGAAGGATTTACAGCTTCTGGGCCTCCATTTCATCTGCCCTGATATTGTCCAGTTGATTCTCCATTGATGGGGACAATATCTGTGTACCCTATATTGTATAATCAATTTAAGACTGTAAGGCTTAGGCTTGAAGCCTTCAAGCTTTAGCTTGTACACTTAGGTCTTATGGTTTAGGGTCTGGGGTCTAGGGTTTAGGGTTTATCAAGGGTGCCAGTTCGAGATTTGTGTCTGGATCTTTGGTGCAGGTCTTGGCTTTACATGTCGATTCGGTACCTAGTAAGGTCGTTGTTCGGTCAAGTGTTTTACCTTAAGTTTATAGGTCAAAACCCAAGACAGAATATTTGTAAATCGCACCCCAGCAAGAAATCCAGGTACGGGATTGACGCCTGCACATTTGGGCCTTTCCATTTCAGGGGACCGGCTCTTGATGCCTGGGTACTGAAAATGTCTCATGAAGGCTATCCTGAGACCCGAAATGACGGAAGGAAAGTTAAATCCTACGTGCGGACCACTAAAAATCTAAATCCTAGACCCTAGACCCTAAACCCTAAACCTAACCTTAACTACGTTGTTGATTGGGCATCCGACGGAAATGATCTATAGGCATGGTCGACTTCATACGTCTAGTGCTGCTGTCTGGATCCAGGAATAAGGTGGGGTCTAGGATGGTCTATTCCTGTAGTTTCCATTTTCTTTTCCATTATCCCCTATATGAGCCAT